GCTTCTTTGTACTGTCTTTATAATACCAAGTGAATATAACAGAAATTAAGGAATCTGTTGTTGGTTGTGCCCATGGATATCACAGTTAATTGACTATAGGGAAGCGTGCTCTTAAGTTGTGGATGATTTTTTTTTATTTTTTTTTTTTAGGCTGGTTCTTTCATATTAATATAGCTAATAGGTATTGTTTTGCCAAACTGAGAGTATTAGTTTGATTTTTTTGACAATATTCAAAATACAATTTTGCTTTTTCATTTTGATTATTAGGGCAGAAAAGAAATGCTTTAAATATTTTTTTGTGAAACAAGGTTACACTGGAACATCTGTCAGGTCTAATGGGCTCTAATCGAGAGGATCAGACCAGAGCAGTCTAATCCTCTCTGGGATGACTATACCAGTAAATTATCCTGAAGAAGGGGTTTATTTCTGTAATACATTTTGCTTTGCAGTGACTGCAGGCCTGACCCTTTTAAGTCTACAGTAAATGCAGAATAGCTTACTGCAATAAAAGGAGCTCACATTTATTGTAAAGTAAGAATATTCACACTAGCAATCACCATGGAGTAGATAATGTATTATAATTTCACATTCTTCCTTTTTTTTTTTGTCTAGCTGACCTTTCTGCAGACAGTAGAAGTATGAGCCTGAAGTACACTTCATAAAAATATCCCCTGGACTGAGGCATCCAGTCAGCTTTCCAAAGTAATCTGTGTAAAGAGTTTAATGTTCCTTCTTTCTTTCTCTCTCATATAATGGGAGTAGAAAATCCAGTCTGGTTAGTGACAGGTAGCCCCTCTGCGGATGGAGCCCGCTTTTAATCCAATTTATCAGATGTTTGCAGTAGCATTTGTCCAGGCTTAAGGCTTTGGAGGATGGAGAAGATGGATTTAGAGAAATAAAGCCAGCTGATAGATGGGATCACTTATTAGACATCTCTCATATAAATTATGAAAAATAGCTATAGTGAATTATAGCTGTAGGCTTTCAGATAATAAGCCTTTCAGAAAAAAAATAATGAAACTAAGTGACACTCAGTTCTTAGTCTCATTACCAGGCTGAATCATAATTCAAAGTTCTTTTAAAACTTCCAGGACCGTTTGCAAATCTTGATGAAAATGAAACCAAGCTTGATTGTATTTAACCAGTTTAAGTGAGTTTTTTTGGCTGCTACTTTACTCCAGGAATATTTCTTTCCGATAAGTTTCCAGGTTATTTCTGTCTGCAGTCCATTGCCTGCTGCTCTCAAGGTACAGGGACTGTAATTTTTTTCCTGTCAGTTTTTGGGCAGTTATCCCTCATCAAAATTGACAGAGCTGGAGAAAAGCCTCCTCTGCCAAGGCAGCACTCCTTGCAAAATCAATAGAAATAACAGAGCAGGCAGAGAACCAGCAGCCTGTATTCTTCTGTTTCCATCCTCCATTCATCCTTGAAATTGGACTTTCCTTGGCTCCCAATGCCAACCAGTAGCAGGAACAGTTGACACAGTTGACTCAGTCCTGACACAGCCTGGAGGATCCCACAGCCACAGAGAATCTCCTGAACACCCTTAAGGGGTTTCTTAAGGGAATTTTTGTGTGTACATGTGAAATGCATAAGCTGAAGCCTTGAGGTTTGTTAATAGCCGTTGCTGCCATTGGAGAAATGGGAATTTTCTGGAGTCAAGGTGAAGTTTAACAGCTGGATAGAAACATCTCCTGCCAGCAAAATATTATACAGCAGCAAAGGATGTAGGCGATGAAGGAGTTGTATAAACGGGTTGGTTTAGTGCTCTATCATGATTCTTAAAAAATTCAAAAAGGAGGAGGGTAGAAAATAGAGACTATTAATATAGTCCTGCATGGCACCATGGTGTAGCACGTTCTCATGTCTTTTTTTGGAGGCTGTGACAAGAACAAGCAGAGGTGATGAGTGGCCCTGATATAAGGAATGACTGAGTAAACTAGAACTATGTCATTCAGAGAACAATACCTGAGAGACAGTGTCGTGAGGGATATATATGTTTAGGAGTGACCTAGTCAAAGGGAATAAAAAATGAGTGTTTATTACCTTTTCCAATATTCAACAGCTGTAACTAGCAGAATGCACCTACAAAGCCAACAGAGTGGTGCTTAGTTAAGAGTCACTTTCCTTGTAAGAATAAAATCTTACACAGGTTTAAAAGATTGACCTGATCCAATGCAGCCATTCACATGTTCCCAAATGTTTTTGGTTCTTGTCATTTAAAAGTCCCATTTTTCCCCTTCTCCATGCGTGATTGAACTCCATTATTCTTTTCCATCTACTCACATCTGATTTAGATGATGTGTTGCCATCCTTTACTTGCCTTTGAAACTGTGATGTAATATTGTAAATTTAGCCCTGTCCCCCAAAAGAACCCTAGCTGAAGTAATTTAGGGATAGAAACCCCAAGATCCTGAAGAGATTTTGTTACTTTGCAGTAAAGTTGTTTGTGGGGTTCCAGTGTCCCTGCTTCATTAGGGTGCATTGACATGTCAAATATAGTTGCATTCAAGTGAGGTTTCACTATATAGTGAGTATATTGTTTCAAAAAGGGTGCTTTATATCAAGAACACCACCAATGAAGTTATGTAGGGTATTACACAACAGTAGTAAGTCTTTCAAAAGTTTACTCAAGGGTTAATCAACAGCATGATGCGAGATCTTTATAAAAAAATTATTACTTATTCACTGTTCTTGTCTTAGAACCCATCATGTTGCCTCTCGTCCTTCACAGACATCATATATGCAATATTTCAGAGTTCTGATAATTCCCGCAAATTCAGATTTTTCTTTTTCGTGGTTTAAAAAAGCAAAATTAGGAATCATCCCTTTGTGGACTACACGGAAGTTGAATATGAGTCAGCAGTGTCCCGGCAGCCAGGAGGGCAAACCATGTCCTGGGGGGCATCAGGCAAAGCATCGCCAGCCGGTCGAGGGAGGGGATTGTCCTGCTCTGCTCTGACCTGGGACAGCCTTACCTGGAATATTGTGGCACTTTTGGGTGCTGCAATATAAGAAAGATGTTAAAGTATTAGAGAGCATCCAAAGGAGGGAAACAAAGATGGTGAAGGGCCTTGAGGGGAAGCCGTGTGAGGAGCCGCTGAGGGCACTTGGTCTGTTCAGCTGGAGGAGACTGAGGGGAGACCTCATTGCAGTTACAACTTCCTCGTGAGGGGAAGAGGAGGGGCAGGCATTGATCTCTGCTCTGTGGTGACCAGTGACAGGACCTGAGGGAATGGCCTGAAGTTGTGTCAGGGGAGGTTTAGGTTGGATATTAGGAAGAGGTGCTTCACTCAGAGGGTGATTGGGCACTGAACAGGCTCCCCAGGGCAATGGTCACAGCACCAAGTCTGACAGAGTTCAAGAAGCTTTTGGATGACACTCTCAGGTACATGGTGTGACTCTTGGGGATGATCCTGTGCAGGGCTGAGGGTTGGACTTGATATTCCTTGTGGGTCCCTTCCAACTCAGCATATTCTGTGAGTCTGTAAACACAGAGTCTGTAAACCTGTAGTTTTTATGAGTTAATACCAAGAACTAAGTGCAGAGTTTCCAGGATAAGTTTCAATACTGCATAAATGTATTTCCAAGTGTAAAATACTGCTGTATCTTGAAATAAAATGCTAACCCATTTTGGCTTTAAACCAAACATACTTTATGAAAGCTAATTTTAGCGAAGTGTTAGGAATGTGTGAATTCCTCATTAGTCAGCCAGTATTCAAAACACCACTCCGAAATTACTTTTGTGATTCTTTTAATGGGCAAAGTTTTGGTGAGGGAATACCCCAGTTTGGGTATCAATCAACAGTGTTTGCTAGCAGTCCAATCATGCTGAATTATGGTTAAAGTACTATTTTAAATAATAAGTGCTTTGTGGATATAATTATATGACTACTATTCCTCTCTTTTTTTTTAATAAACATCATTGTTATGAAAACATTCTAATCTAATAACCATAAATTTTCCATGTTAAAGTCCCCAAAATATATTGAAGTTATGAGTTGTCAGCTGTGAAAACTGATAGCAGTTAGGGACTTTTCCCCCAGGTTAACTCAGTTTTGGGTGTTCTGATTACAATATCAACTTTTATCTTAATCTAACTGAACAAGGAGTAAGACAGAAAGAAGGGGAATTTAGGGTTGCTTCAAAGAACTCACAGTGATGAAACTTTGAGAAGCAAATATTTTCTTAAACAATATTTGATGTGTTTGGGGATTTTGGGCTGAGATTCTATCCCAGACAGTCTTGTCAAAAGCAGGAGTCGTTGCGCTGAGGTTATACATGTTCAGTGTTTAACTGGTACTAAACTAATCTGAGATGACAGACCATTTCCATGCTCTTTCAGAACAGGCCATGCTACTTAGGAAATTAATAAATATTACTTGTCTATAATTTGCTCATAAATGATAAGCGAGGTTGTGTGCGATGCTTTTGCTAATGTCTGGTAAACAGAGACATGTCCTTCTAATATGGGATGACAAATACAAAGTGAGGAAGATACTCATTACATCTCAGCTGTGAGAGTGTTCCCCATGTGTGTGGGTGTTCAAGGGGACCCAGTAGGGTTTTTTTCAATTTTTGTTTTCTTTTTTAGTAAGCAGAATTTCTTCTAAAAGCCTGATAACTAAATTATTGCCATTTGTATCTTCATGCTTATTCTGCTTGGGTATCTTACTGAGCAGTGAGACTTGGATAGAAATTAACTTGAAAATAGCCTTCAATGTGATAAATATTTGTATTTAGACAGAACCTAGGGAAATCCTTCTGGCCTCTGACAGAGCCCCGAAGGGGAGCCGGCAACTGTAGAGCAAATTAAACTGTGCAAATCTTCAGCCTTGCTGCAGATCCAGCAAATATGTGCAGTGTAACACAGCAAATACGGGAAGGCTTTTAGTTACGGAGGTGTGTAAATGTTTACAAATATGATTAACTGCAGAGCACAAAATCCATTTGCAGCATCAAAGACAAAACTAAAATTACTTTTTCCCACCCCCCTCCAGGATTATGCTGAAAAGAAAAACACGATAGCAAAAGCTCTGGAAGATCTTAAAGCCAACTTCTACTGTGAACTCTGTGACAAGCAGTACTATAAACACCAGGAGTTTGACAATCACATTAACTCTTATGATCATGCTCACAAACAGGTAAGAGGAATCTGCTCACTACTTCAACTTAGTTTCATGTAGAATGATGAAATAAGATGTCCTGCAGACAATCACAGTTGTGTTGTCCCCAATTTCAGGTTCTGGGAAGCAAAATAAAGCATTTCCTTAGAAACAAATCTTATCGTGGAGATTCTACAGTCAAAGATTCTGAGATGGGAATAAAGAGAAATTTGAATAGTTTAACTGTGAAGAGGAATAGGGAATGATGAATAATATGATGAAAAGTGTAAATATATAATTTCTTTATCAGTTTAATTTTGCACATAAATACTGAGGTATAACTAAGACATGACTTACTGGGAAACATTTGTTGCAACAAATGTGCACAAGAAACTTGACATACTCTTTGGTAAACTTTCCTAAAGCGCAGATACAGTTCTGAAATAGGCTATGATTTACTTAAATTTGTGCAGGTATGGTTCTGGAATGAGCTAGGATTTTACTTAAATGCATTGCATAAAAAAAACCTCAAAAACCAGCTGTGGTAACGAAAAGATAAGATATGTGTTAGCTTTAAAACACTGGTATTTACGTTTTTACCACCTCATTTTATCACTGCACTTCCAAGTCGTGTGCCCTAAGATAAAAGCAGTGCTTCCACATAGTGAGAAAGGCAATGCATCCCAGGGCAGCACCCTGGTCTGTAGAGGGGTCAAGTCTATGAAATTCAGAGGGAAAGACAATGCATCTTGACTCCATTGAAGAGATATGTAACGATAATGTAAAGATATGTAATAGCTGTACAGGAAATTTCTACTTAGGCCACTTAGCTGGTAATTATTCTGTATCCTTTTTTTTTTTCTAATCTAGTGAAATCATATGGTTGTGTATCTGGATTGATTGCTTTCCATTCTAATTGAATCTCCCTTTGTCTTGTAATTCTGCTCAGGGTGAATGTAGATGAGTTGCCATGCATGTTTTATATCTGTATTATATAAGATAATTTGCTTTTCTTTCTGGCAGCCCATCTTCCTGAAACACTTCCCTCCCTCTCTCACTGGTGTTTTTATTTAGCCCATAATTTACACTGTCAGTATGAGTGTTAGATTTAGGTTTGAGAACTATGGAGATGTGGACCCCAGCAGCAATAGCAATCCATGAGAAGCTGGAGGGAAAGATATATATGTTAGATAAGAAATTAGCAGGTAGCTTCATTGCATCCTACAGCTACGTATTATGAGTTTTAGTTAAAATAGAGCTGGAAATGATTCTTCAGGTGTTATGTTCACACAGCAGCAGGTCCTTGATGGATGGCAGGAAAAAAAGAAATGATGGGCAGAGTCTTCCCCACTTGACCTCACTTAGGATTTTTATTTATTAATTGATAAGTGCTCTGAAGCACTTGGAAATAATGAGAACCTGAGGGCTGCAGTCCTCATCCCTCCATTCAGGATTGATGAAAAATTGATTTTGAAACAGAGGTCGGGTGTGAGACTGAACAGGGGCTTGCTTGCAGTGTTTCATGGGGTAATTCTTGTTTTCTGGTGGCTGTAGACAGGAGATGGTGGGCCCTGCACCAGCATCTGACAGTGCATGGCAGACCCTGTCCCTCTGTTTTTTGTGTAAGGGATCTGCATGTGTTTGTAGGTGGCTTTGTGGGTGTCTTTGGGGAAGCACAGGAAGCCATCCTCTTCCTCTGTAAGGCCTTCACAACTTTAATCTCCTTTGTAGGAAATCAGAAGAAAGTTTTTAGTTTTCCAGTAGAAAAAATTGTGTGGGTGCTTCTCCGTAATATTACTGGCAAATAAGACTATTGATTCCTGAGATTAAAATGTTAAATCGAATTTAACTCTCCTTGAGTATTTTTTGTGGCGGCTTCTACTGGTGTTATGAAGGAAACAGATTCCTCTTCCTGTATTTTGGGTGTAAAAAGTGTCAGGCAGCACATGCTGCAGCACAGACTCACTCTGATTTGCTCTGCTTTCAAGGAACTTCATACTAAGTGCTTTTTTTTTGAGTAACCTAATTTAATAAGCCCGATGGAGCCATTTGCAGGTGTTACTGTTGAATGCTCTGATTTTGTCTTGAGACTTCCTACCTCAGAAGTTTTCCACCAGTTCAGTAGGGGTGAGAGGAACAAATAATCTGTCTTTGGATTTTGCTTCGTATTTTTCTCTTTTTCCCTTCAGTGAAACCTTTCTATAATGATGGATGAGGAAGTACTTGCTAGAAAAAGTTTCCCACGATTGAAGGACAGTTGTAAGCATGTGCAGCCAGTTTGGTTTCAGTGATCCCAGCACCTGAGAGTGGTTCCTATATGATCAAATGGATGAAAGCTCTGCCTAAACCTGAGTTCATCCCAGCTTTTCTGAAAAGCCACATTTAATCCTAATTGTGCTCTCTGTTGTCACACCATCTAAGCCATGGGAGGGTTTATCAGAGAAAACGTTCCTAACAGCTCCTGCACCTCAGTTCTATTGTAGGAGATTATCTTTTTCTTTCCATCGATTCAAAAGCACAGAAAATTCACAGGATTTAAACCAGAAGATTCTTAATTTTAATTTTTCCTCCTTTGGATGGGGGGGGGGCTTGTGCTGTCAGGTATTGGTTGTGTTTTGACTTGTTGTGTCTTACAACTCTGAACACCCACTTTGAGACAGAGTGAGGTCCTTCTGAGCAGTCTAGAAAGGAAGCATAGGAGTAGGGCAAAAAACTAATTTTATTTCCCAGGAGCTGAAGGAGTTCACTGTCTCAAGAGCTTCACTGCCTCTGTTAGTGTGTTCTTGTTGTCAGCTTTGACAATATGGTTTGGAGAGCAATAGCTGGAGCCTTTATGAAGTACTCCTGGAAAAGCAACTTGCAAGCAGTCAGAGGTAATAGGCAAAAATGAACTCTCTGCTTTGCTTTGAAAGCCTAGAACAAAGAAAAAAAAGAAAACCAAAATAAAATGCAGGTGTGCTTTAAAACAAAAATGTTCCCAATATGAGCTCAATACAGGGAGAAATGTAACAAAGGCAGATTTGCTTTTATTTAATATAGTAATGAGAGAATTTGTGGAGGTCAATAAACTAACATGATCCCAGGGAGGCAAGAAACTGGAATAGTTTATTTGGACTCACAGGTTCATATATAAAGGGTTTAGGATCTACATATTCAACAGGGGGTTTGCATATTCATTCCGTTACAATTGGGGACTTTCCAGAGATAAAGGGGAAATCCTAAATTACAAACCTGTGGGTCTTAGCACTTACATCATAGGGGAAAACCCACTTTATCTGGGGAGATTTTACAGGGGAGAACAGGTATTGGGTTTTATGCAGAGGTCTGATGAGATTAGGATGTGGATTCTCTGGCTGGGGCAGGACATGTGATAACATCATGCAAGGAGTCTCCTCCATTCTGCTGGAGAAGGCAGGAAAAATCCACAGTGATGAGGTCATTGAAAAGGGTTTTTCCTCAGCTTTCCTAGTTCATGGCTTTTTGCAGAGACTGCTTGAATCCCTCTCTGCAGATATTATATTTTTGAATCCTATAAGAATTACTATTTGATGATGATGATGGTCTAAAATCCCGGGATGCAGATTTTAAGACCCGTGCCAGGACTTAAAAAACATTTCTGTGATTTTATTCAGCGTTTCTGGAAGTGCACGAGGAGCTCTCTGAACTGCTGTATTCGTGCAGGGTATAAAAAAAATCCCTGCCTGTGTTCCTCAAAATTCTGCGGGTTTGATAAATGTGGCCGAGCATTAAATCTGAGGCTCTGAATGACCTTTGTCTTGGAGCCACTCGGAGCGGGTGAGTTGTGCTGTCTGGTGGGTGAAGAAGGCTGGGTCCCACAGCTCAGTCCCCTGCATCAGTCATTCCTCAAGAGACTTCTGCCACTACAGGAACAAAGAGGTATTATTTCTGTTTATGAAAGTCTTCCTCTTCATCCCAGAACTTCTGATTAATCACCTAATATCACAGCAGCACGCTCGAGCTTGGTGCTGTTTCATCTCCCAGGAGGACTTTTCCAAATATCAAGCAACAATAACTGTGAAAGCTGTGATGAAAAATAAATAGCCCTAATGTATTTGCATCTACATATGAAAATACAATCAATTAAGTAAATTATAAGTAGGAAATTTTCCCTGCAGAATCAGAGGTCATTTCTCAAACTGTTTCTCCCTGGATGAAAATGATCTCTGTGCTCTAGAAATGTATTTAAAATTGTATAGAGGTAATAACGGACAAATTATGCAGAAAGACTAAATGAGTACTTGTCCCCTTTCCCTCTTCCAGACACAGATTTCTTCTGTGTTTTTCTCCTCTTCTTACGTGTTTTCCTTTGCAAATTTTTTGAGATCAATGCCTAATAAGCTAGAGAATATCGATCTGTAGTCAGTCAGAAGTCCAAACTTAACTCATCTTTATGTGTTTGAATAAATATTTCGTGCCATATGGGTGGAGAACAAGAAATTTGGAAGTGGAAGGGCATGGTTAGGCATAACAATAATATATAAGCCCCATCATTTTACTAAAGCTACACCTCCTACGAGGTACAAAGTGGATAAGGAGCAGTGTAGCACATTTGGGATGCCACTATTCCCAGCAAACGTAATTGGATGTAATCAGTTGTTTGAGCCTGCAATTTAAAAACAAAGCAACGAATCCTTGTAGTCATCATTACAGCTCTTTTAAAAAAACCTCTCATTGTAGAGTTATTCTCTCTGAAAAAGAAAAACACCCACATCATCTCCTTGGTTGGCACTTGCAGAGCGTGCACTGCAGTGCATCTGCAACTTCTGGCATAGCCCAAGAGTTTGTATCTATTTGAAGGGAAATAGCACATGTACTGGGAGAATCATGAAGTGAAAGAAGTTAACTGCTTGCTGGGAGCCAACAGGATTTTATGCTGTATTTTTCAGGCCTGCTTTTTGCTGGTTGGGTTCCCCCCTGGAGCTACTGGAATCAGACTGAGCCAGAGGCAACATGTTGTATGCAGTCTTTGAAATGCAGAAATAATGATTCTCAAAAATAGTGCTGTCTTCTAGAGCAGTGTGTCTAGAGCTTTGGTGAAGTACAGGATAAAACCTGAAGAGTTTCAGAATTTTCTGAAGATTTGCTTCCTAAGCAAAACAAACATGACATACGGTGCCTCAGATATTGGGGACGTTCTCTAGTAAGAGATTTCATAAAATAAGAATATTAAAACTTCTGTTTCTCCAGTTTTAAAAAAAGTTTTTAAGCTCCAGTGGAAAAGCTGGAGTTGTTACCTGATAGGGTA